TGGGCACGCACGCACACGCGCCCGGCGTGAGTTCTAAGCCACCTGGTCCGGGACGTGAACCGTGGTCGACTAGGTGGGAGTCCAGCGACATAGCCATTACGCTAACTGCTGGTTCCAGGCACCTGAAGAGTTTTAAAGACATCTCTGTTCAGGTCTTGGTCTTGCTCAGACCCTCAGTGGCTCCCTGGAGCCCTCAGCTCAGAGTCCAGCTCTTGAACAAGGCTGTTGGAACTGATCCCTGGCCTCCATAGCCTCGCGGCCTGCCATACAATGGCGCGACACCACTTGATTCTTCCTAGTTGCCTCCCAAGTTCCTGTCCCAGCTCTCCTTTGAACTCTATCTCATTCCTGCCTGCCTTTGCTTAGGTCTTCCCTCCCCTACCCATTTCCCTGACACACTCGTCCAAACCGCACACCGTCCACTGGACTCCCATCACAGCCTGGCCCTCTCACTGTGCTTACCACACTCTATTGCCATGAGCTGTTGGCGTCTGTCTCTCCCACGCATTTGTGAGCTCTTGGCAGGGGTGTGGTGTATCTGGGATGTGCACATCTGTGTACATATCTGTGATGAATTTGTTTGGTACACGCCCTAGGACTGCTATATTTGTATGTGTTTGTGGTTGTGTTTGGTATTTCTATCATTTAATAAACATTTGCATGTCAGGCTCTGGGCTAGATGTTGGCAATATCAAAACTAAACCAAACAGAAACAATCCCTGCTTTCCAAGATCTAGCTGGGAGCTGCAACAGAAGCTGTGTGCGTAACCTGACCATCCTGGCTGGGGTGAGAAACCCCCCCCCCAGCCCCACCCCCACCCCAGCAGGCAGGTAGGGCCCTAATGCTCAGTAGCTCCCGGGCTCCAGAGATCCCAGAGCAGGCCTGGCACAAGGTTGGGGAAAGGCCACCCTCACCACCCAGCTGCCTGGGTTTCCTTTCTCTACTCTCCCTTTCCTGCTAGCAGATGAAGGAGTGTGGAGCCAAAGAATCTGGTAACTTCACTGGAATTAATTCCCCGTCAGCACCCAGTTTTCCCAGGAGACCGCACTGTGGACCCCCGCCTGGGCTCCTGGCCTGTCCTCTGCATTTGCTGTGTGGTCTCATCCTCACCACTTGGTGGGGTTATAGGTGGGCACCATGCTCTGTAGAGAGGCATCCCTGCGCTCAAACCTCGATCATCAGGGTGTCACACAAACTTCAAGACTAGAGATCCAGGGACTGCATGGCCACCTCTGCACCCTTCTGCGGTTGGAAAGGCCTAGGAGAGGAGGGTGGGTGGTGGTCTCCACCTTCCCAACCAAGCATGTCTTCAGGGAAGAGGTGTGCAGTCCTCACTCCAGGGCCTGCTGAAGACTGTCAGGGACTTGTGTTTCAGACTCCTACAGCTTGTGATCTGGGGTTGTCCTGGAAGCTGGACCTCTCACCCTGAGGACCCCAGGCTCTAGGCAGCCTTGGGGGACAGTCCTGGGAGGAGCAGAAGGACCCAGCAGAGAAGGAGAAAGAGCCCAAGCCCCTCTGATCCTATGTTGGAAGCAGCCATAGGCCTCTGCTAGATGGCAGCTGTCTCTCTACAGACTGGCCTGACGGTCTCCAGATTCTGGGGAGCTGGCCCCTGCCTCAACACCTTCAAAAATTCTCTGGAAGAGTGTCATGTGGGGTGCAATAAGCATGAGCTTTGCTCCTGGGAAGTCTCCTCTGTGGTGGGAAGCAGACTCCTCTGCCTAAGAGGTTACCTCCTCCTCCTTTACTAGAAGCCCAGACCCACCGCTCCTAGCCCCTCCTGCTTGGCATGAGGGAGCCCACCATGATCAAGGTTCATAACGAGGCCACAGACAACCATCTTCCTCCTGGGCTAGACTCTTACTGAACCTCCTTCCCATCCCCAGCCCTACTTGCCATCTTTGTCACTTCCAACAGGCCTGAGCATGGACTTCCCTTCCCTAGCACCTACCGACCCACCCAGGCCCTCCCACAGACTACCCCCTGCCCCGGGAAGGTGGACACAGCCCTATCCAGGAAGCCCTGGTTGCCTGCAGGAGAGTAACTGTTGGGGTGGGGGAGGGTTCTTGACCAGGCCCTCCCAAGCCCTGGCAGGGGCTTAAGGTCACTGACTCACAATGACTTGGAGGGTCACCGGCCTGAGATTTCCCCCGGAGGGACCCCCGCTCTGGGCAGCCACCTTGGGAGCAGTCTTTGTAGTGTTGAACACTTCACTGCTCCCACAGCCCTGCCACACCCATGAGCCTGGAGCTGCGCCCTACATCACCAATACTCCCATTCCCTGTTCCTGGCCAGGAAACAGACTCAGTGGAAGCCAACTCAGTCACAGGCCCCGCTCACCTGGCCAGCTGGTAGGTGGCAGAGGTAGCACTCCCACACAGGTCTTCTGACTCCAAGACGCCATTACCCGTCCCTACGTATATGCCACACTTGGGCTGGAAGAGCCTGTGACCACAGCAGAGCTGGGCACAAAGGGAGCCCTGAAGGGGGAGCCTGGGGTGGGCACCTGGCAGAGGCAGGCCTGAGAGGTGCCGGTGCCCACGGGTCTCAGCCCTGCCATGGTCTGGCCTGCATGGGTGGTCGAGACAGGCGGAGAGCCATACCCAGGTGCCCTCACCTGTACCCGGGCCTCTGTCAGGTCTGTGCGCAGAGCCAGCTGCTCCCGGGCATACACGTCCGGGTAGTGGGTCTTCTGGAAGACCTTCTCCAGCTCCTCCAGCTGGGCCGTGCTGAAGGTGGTACGGTTGCGGCGCTTCTTGCTCTTGTTCTTGGCCGACTCCATGGAGTCAGGAAGTCCAGGGGAAAGGGGGACACGCAGGCTGGCCAGGCAGGGGCCCGGGGAGCCTTGCAAGTTACAGGGCCCGTCTCTGGGGCCCCCTCGACAGTCCAGGGGCAGCTGGGGGAAGCTGGCAGCTTTGGAGGCCTTCTCCTCAGCTGCAATGGAAAACACAAAAAGGAGGATGGAAGCGAACAGGGGGTTTTGTGGGTGGAATGGGGGAGGGGAGGAACATTGCTGCCTGGTCTCCGCCTCCCCTTCCTCTCCCTTCCCTCCCTGCTCCCGCAGCCACCCTCCATGGGAGCCTGGCATTTGGAGGCCTGTCTGCAGAGGCTCCAGCCTGGGAGGGGGCCTGGGGAACCATGTGCTCTGTGGTCTGGGCGGATCTGCTAGGGCCAGAGGGGGGTTCATTTCGGGGAAGCGCTCTGTGGTGGGGCATCCCACGGGCGTGGGCGTGGAGGTGCCAGGATTGGCGCCAGAGTAGGGACTGCCACCCTGGCAGGCTGAGAATGGGGCAGGGGAGGGAGAAGCAGGGGGAGTTGACATCTCCACCCCTACCAGGAAGTGCTTCCTTGGCCCTGACTCTGTAGGCTGTGGTTCCCATGCCCTCATGCCAGGCCCCTGCTCCCAGGTCAGGGCCAGGCAAGTTGTGCACACGATGCTCAGACCACCCTCAGCTGGTCTGGCCATGCCTCACTCTCTGCACCCTGAGTCTAGGGTCAACATTAAATTTCCCAGCTCTGGGGTATGAAGAGCCAGATGGAAGAAAAAGCTTTCAGAGGGACCACCTCTCTCCATGCCTCCTGAATCATGATTCTGGTCAAGGCCCGAAGCTCCTAGCAGTGGCGAGGTGGAACTGAGGTAGGCTTTGCTCAGAGGAGAGTTGGGAGGCTGGTGTCACGAGAGGGCATGGCCCCACTTCCCCACTATTCCCATCATCCCTGCCCCTCCTTCCTCAAGCATTGCTGACCACTTGCTCTCCCATTGTCCATGAAGAATAGGCAGGGAGGATCCGACAGCAAACCAGGAATGGTTCCCAGAGGCCTCACTCTGACATGCTAACCCCTCACTTGGGAACCTTGGCAGAGCCCCACCAGTCTGACCTACAGGGCATGGGGAAATTTAGGTCACCCTGATCACCCCGCCCTCTCCCTCTGGCGAGGACCCCCAGCGGTGTCCCATGAAGTCCTTCCTCAATAGGCTGCTGGGATGGCAGACCTGACACCACAGAGACGCCCCACTGATTCACACAGCCCTTTCCCTGGCCTGCGGCCCATACCCAGTGGAGGTCTGGCCCCCAGGAGGCCCAGCCAGTTGGCACCAAGAAGCATTTTCTTCCCAGGACTTGGTGTCAAGATCACAGCTGTAGTTGGAGGAGGATGGGATCAGAGCAATGGCCTTCTCAGGATCAGAGTCCCTGGCTGCACCATGGAGGACAGGTGGGCAAGGTCCCTCACAGCCAGAAGGTGCAGTGACCACCAGGACCACCCTGGTGTTGTTGGAGGACTGAGAGAGGCAGGGCCTGGCCTGGAGCTATGCCGGGCCTGCACACAGGTGACAGGTCTCCTACACAACTCATGGGGGACACAGGGAAGAAATGGAGGACCCTATCTTCCAATCTAGGTCACCACCTTTTCATACTATAATTAAAATTCATGATAAAGCCTATATCGTGCACGAGAGAGAGAGGCAGCCTCCACAGCTCAGTCACACTGTCATCCCCTTCCTCCAGGCCTCTAGCTGGTCAGGATCCCAGGCACACGGGCTGACCAGGCCGGGAACTCAAACTGCATGGGGCTAGCACGTGGCTTCCAGCCCTGAGGTCCCATCTCCTATCAGCTGTGCCATTGAGGCTGGGCCTGGCCATCACGTCTGAGAAGCTTAGGTCGGAGGACTCATGCAAGCTGAAGCACAGAAGTGAACATGGTCTGGGAGACCAGGGAGACTGGGCTAGGGCACCCCATTCATAACAAGCCCTCAAAACGCCTGAGAGAGAGGACTGGTGTCTTAGACTCCAGACAGAAAGGGGTGAAAGTACCGCAGGGCCTGGGTTAGGAAGTATTGGGATCACTGCAGAGGGCCCTCAAAGCCTTGGGGCTTGCTCATTCAAATCTTAGACCCTCAGTGTCTGTCCCAGTAGGACCTGTCCAGAGGAAGTGACCAGACCTGGGGCCCCAGGGTTTGCCTCCTGACCTCGAGCCACCCAGTTGCCAGGGTCAAGGGATGAAAGAGCAGCAGGACTTCTCAGAACAGCTGTTCCCAGAGAGACTGAGCCCACTGGCCTCTGCTCACCTCCCAGGACTCCCAGGGGAGGGTGACAGCCCTCTCTTTGGGAGAGAGGAGAGCACCCCATCAGAGAACGCAGCATGGCCTCTTGAGGAGCAAGGGCCAGGAAAGAAGGAGTAGAAATGGGGCAGAGGGTGAGCTGGTCCAGGAAAAGCTGCCTAGGAATGGAAGGTGGCAGCTGAGCCTGGGCTGGTCACTCTGCTTAGGACCGGCCCACTGCGGTTGCAGACAGGCTGCGCAGCAGTCCTTGCACCTGGTCCAGACACTGGCTGGTTAAGGAGGAGTTCTCAGGTTGGAGACTGGGAGCCTCGGGCTGGGTGTCCTTGCCCCCACAACTGCAGAACAGAGCAGCAGTCTTTCTACTGTGAAAGTCAGGGGCTCTCAGTCCCTTGACTCTGCTCTTACCTGCCTCACCCTTGACCCCACCGGATGCCAAACCCTCAGCCGCCTCCAAGCCACCGTGCAGCCCAGGCAGCAGCACCACCCAACGCCTACCAGCCCCCACGACTGCACCCTTTGGGGCCACAGAACCAACCGCCTGGCTTTCTCTGCAGCTTTGCCCAGTGAGCTGCGCGATTTTCTTCCATCACGCGGGAGTCTCTAAGAAACACGCAGAGCTCGCTAAGGCCTGGCATCTCTCGCAGCACTGGCCTAAGACCTGAAGCCAGCTCGGACAAGCATGCGGTGTGTAGGACTCCAAAGGAGTCTTGGTGCATCCGCTCGGCCCAGGAGCCTTGGCTGGGTGCCGAGACTCCGTACTCTTCACGTCCCATCCGCGGTCCACGATCCACCCCGTGGTCATGGTCGTTCGACTCCGGGCCTCCGTCGCGGCGGACAGGGGGGAAAGCTCCTACACTTCCCAAGGGCGTGTTCCGAGGTCAAGGAGCCAAGCACAGCACAGACTAGCGGCCCCAGCCGAGCAGGAAGGAGCCGCCCGGGCACTCTCTGGCCCTCAGAGATGCCACGCTCATAGCGCGCGAAGGTGGCTGGCACCGCCAGAACGCGGCCCAGGTCCAGAGCAGGGCTAAGCGCTCTGTGCCGCGCGGGCGGTGGGCACCGGGCGGGAGAAGAGCGCGGTGCGCCGGACTCTGCCACGCTCAACTGCCCGGCCTCCGCGAAGACCTCCGCAGATGGGGCGCAGCTGCGCGCTCACTGGTTTGAACTGGAAACGCGCGTTGCCTGTTATTTCAAAGCAGGAAATAAAGCGGGTTTCGCCTTCTCCCACCACGTCCCACCAACTGGACTATCCGTCGAACCCGTGGGCTGTCCTTCCCCAGCAGCTGGTCTCTACTTCTCGGGGCTGAGGTCCGCTCTGCCGCAAGGACGCGGGCGGCCACCGAAGTCCAGCCAGGGAACCTGGGCGGCAGCGGCGGTCGGGGACCCTGCCCAGGCTCTGCTCGCTCCCGCCGCGCCTCCGTTTCATTCAGCCTGTGCTCGGCTCAACTTGAACCGTTACTTTCTTATCCCATTTGTTTTCGTTTTGTTACGTTCTGCTCTTGGAGCTATCCCCCTTTCTTTCGTTTTGTCGGCGCCCTTCTCTTCATCCTTTGCCTCCTCCCCCATTTACCCGCTTCATTCGATCTTCGGCTGGCTTTCCCGTTCACTTAGTCTTTCGTTCTGCCGAACTCACCAACTCACCGACTGCCGTTTACCTCTCGTTCCTGCCACTCTTCTCCTTTGTTTTGTTCGATTTCCTTTTTCCTTTTTTTGGTGGTGGTTCCCACCCTTGGAGATTTTCCCTCCGCATTTCGTTGTGGAGGACACCCTCGCGGTGGATCCGACGTGGCGGGCGTCCTTGGTCTCGCGCTCTAGCGCTCTCTGCAGTTTTCTCGGCGGCGCCCGGCAGGTCCAGGCGCCCGGGAGGTCCCTGCTGGATGACGACGAGGGGCGAGGGATGGCCGGGCCGCAGGTGGGTCCTGTCGGATCCAACGCCGCACACTGAGCCAGGCCAGGTACCTGTACCCACTCAAGCTCCCCGCGCTGTGCGGCCGCCGCCGTCTGGCTGGGATCAGAGGAGCCAGGCCAACTGCTTCTCATTAAGTCCCAACTGTGGTTTTTATCGGGAGAGCCTCTTTCCAAGGGCACAGACAGGCGCTCCGCGGACTCGCTCATTTCCTCCGCTGACCCCACACACCTCCCCGCCCTCCCTTACACATTCCCACCACTCCGGCTGGGCGAAGGCCGGAGCTGCCCGACCACTCGGTGGAGGCCCAAGCGGCGCCAGCCCGGCTGGTGTGCTGGCGGATTGCGGTGGATCTCGGAGGATCCAGCTGCGGGCCTAGGGGCTGCGGGATGTGGCAGCGCACATGGGGTGGGTGCGAGCCCCGAGATGAGATTCCTACAGGTCAGCGGGTGCAGCGGGCGGCGGCGAGTGCAGGCCAGTCTGCCAGGCCCGGGCGTTCACACGCTTTCTCGGGAGATGAAGTCCAACCGGCCTTAACATCCAGGGCACCCACCCAGGAGCCCGAGGCCGGGTTAGGCCCGCCCTGAGCTGCTCCCGACGGCCCAGCCATGATGGTCTTGTGCAGGGACGCTAAGACTGCGAGAAGGGCGGCCACCCCGTGTGTAATCACCGGGAGGCCAGGCTCTTCTGAGCAATAACTGGGTTATTCCGTTTTGAGAATGGCCCAGCACCGCGGAGACTGGGCCCGGGGAGGAGAGGCCGGCGAAGGCTAGCCGGAAGCCCTGGGTTGAGCCCGGCTTGGCCGTTCTCGGTCGAGGCCCAGCTCTGGGCCCTCAACGAGAACCAGACACAAAAGCCACGCTTCTCTCCTCGCGTCGGGGCTCAGTGCCGCTCCCGAGCTCGCGGCGGGGTCAGGCTTCTGGGTCGGTGGCAGCTCCGGCCCAACTCGGCCAAGCGATCTCTCCTTCCCGACTCCAGCCGCCTTCGGGGGCTGGGCCCCTGCCCACTGCCGCTCCCTGCTCCACTCTCCCTCGACCTCCTGCCCCCCATTCCCGCCGTGGGGGACACGGTGGCTCTGCCCCCCGCACCGTACTGGCTTTGCTTGACCCGGGCAATCCAGCGTCCGAGGGAGCCGTGGCGAAAGCCCAGAGCCGCAACACGTTGAGGAGCCGGCGGGCAGGGAAGAGGGGAGCCGCGGGCGGGCCTGGGTAGGGAAGGGAAGAGGGTCCCGGCTGCGCTGCGCCCGCGCCGCGCGTTACCTTCCTTCCGGCCCTCGTAGAAGTG